TTGTTCGCACAGAGTCAGAGCAAGTTCTGTTGCTATGGTTATATTGTTGCACTGTTAATTTCCTTGTGAAAATTTTGCTATTTCTGAGTAGAGTACAGAAGGAATGAAGTTGAATTTATAGAGTAGCTTTTATATTTTCAGGGCATCTCAAAGGGTGTTACAGCCAATGAAATGCTTGTTTAGTGTAGTAGCTGTTGAAATGTAGGAAATGCAGTAGGTGCTTTGTGCACAGCATGCTCCCATAGACAGCAATGTGATCATAACCAGATACTCTGTTTCATTGATGTTGATTGAGGGATAAATATTAGGCAGGACACTGAGGGAGAACTCCTGTGCTCTTTTTAAATAGTGCTCAGCAGCCTCTCACTTCCACCTTCGTCTGATGTCTTATCCAAACCATGGCACCAGTAGTCACTCTTTGACAGTATTTAATTGGCTGCAAGGTGCTTTGGGTTGTCCTAGAGTGTAGAGCATTTATAAAGGTGATTTATTGGTGCAAATGTTGGTCACTAATTCTGCAGGGTCGGTGGGGGGGGTCCAACCCATCAGTTGATCGTTTAGAGTTCAGAGCCAAACTTAAACCTTGCATCATCTACATCCGATGTGATGCTGTCACTGAAAGAAAGACCATTGTTGCGCTGATGAATACACACAGAGCCTCCTTGATGTGGGTAAAGGCAGACAGATCAGGACAGCTAAGGAATCGATTTTCCCCACCCACCCCATTGCCTTGCCTGGGAAGAGATGATGGATTTTGGCTTCAGTACTCTCTAAAGTGGAATTACAAAATACCAACTACTTATCCACCTTCTACTCTGTCCTGGGAGAGCTCCCTCTTCCATGTGATGAAATGGATTTAGGAAAGGTGTGAAAATTATTTTGAAGGGTGATCTCAGAATTAAACAATTATAAGCATGATAGGCTGATCAGAATGGGGCTTTTTTCTCTGAAACAAAAGAAGTCTGAGAGATGACCTGACCAAGATAATGAAAGGGTTTGATGGTCTAGACATAGAGGATCTGTTTTCATTTGTGGCCAAGACCAGCCTAGGGGGCTGTAATTATAGGCTAGTCACAAATAAACTCAACAGGGAGGACATGAAAAATGTGTTTACCCAGAAAGTGGTTAGAATGTGGAACTAGCTGTCACAGGGAGGGGTTGAAGTAAATCGCACTGATTTATTTCAGCTGGATAAATTCATGAGAAAGAATGCATAAGATCAAGAGGGCTGGGGGAGCAAGAGTGGAATATAACTTGGAAAAAGTGAAAAACAGGAAAGTGTGGGTCAGTTAGCTTCATGTTTGTTACGGAGAATGTGTTAGAATTAATCGTTAGAGATTATTGCTGCACACTGAGAAAAGGTGAAGATAATTTGGAAGATTGGCATTACTTTTCCAAAGGGAAATTATGTTTGGCTAATTCATTGAAGTTTTTTGAAGGAATAACATGCACTGTAGGTAAGTGGGAGCCCAAAGTTATTCAAAACTTGGATTTCTAGAAAGTATTTGATAAGGTGCCAGACCAAAGGTTATTGTTGAAAATAAAAACTCCTGGTATAGGGGTAACAGAGTACGTAAATGAGTCTTTGATTGGCAGGATGTTATTAGTGGAGTCCCACAGGGGTCTTTGCTGGATCCTCAACTGTTTTACAACACCATAAGATATAGGAGCTGAATTAGGCCATTCGGCCCATTGAATCTTCTCCACAATTCAGTCATGACTGATAAGCCCATTCTCCTGCCTTCTCCCTATAACCCCTGTGCCCCTCAGGTCCTAGTCTCTTCTACTGGTGTAAACATCTTCTCCATGTCCACTCTATCCAGGCCTCGCAATATTCTAAAAGTTTCAATCAGATCCCCCCTCATTCTTCTAAACTCCATCAAGTACAGACTCTGAGTCCTTGACTGCATCTTATATGACACACCCTTCATCCTTGCGATCATTCTTACCAGCCTCCTCTGGACCCTGTCCAAGGCCAGCACATCCTTCCTTAGATATGGGGCCTGAAACTGCTCACAGTTTTCCAAATGTGGTCTGACCAGTACCTTATACAGCCTTAGCAGTACATCTCTGCTGTTGTATTCTAGCCCTCTTGAAATGAATGCTAACGTTGCATTTGCCTTCCTAACTGCCAACTGAACCTGCATGTTAACTTTAAGGTTAACAAGTTGCATCAATGACTTGGATGGGGCAATGAAAGGTGCGGTAGCTAAATTCACACAACACAAAGATGCGATGGGAAAGTATGTTGTGAAGAAGACATAGAGAAGATGCAGATGGATGTGGATAAGTTGAGTGAATGGGCACAAATAATACAGATAGAGTATAATGTGGGGTTTTACATGAAGCATGATAAGGTTAGTATTCAGTTACAGCACGTAATCAAGAAGGCAATAAGGATGCTGTCCTTTATTACAAGAGGAATTAAACATAAAAGTGAGGATGTTATGCCTCTGTTATCCCTCAGAGGATGTTATGGCCCTCAGTTATGCCACAGGGCCTTGGTGAGACCACATCTTGAACACTGCAGTCTTGGTCTCCCTGTGTAAGGAAGGATGTAACTATGTTGGAGTTGGTTCAGAGGAGATCCACTAGATTGGTAGTTAGGATGAGTGCATTATCTAATGAGGATGAGTTGGCCATTTAGAAGAGCAAGAGGTGACTTGATTAAAGTGTGTTAGATCCTGAATAGTCTTGTCAAGGTGGATATGGAAAAGATCCTTCCTCTTCTGGGTCAGCCTGGAACTGGAAGGCACTATTATAAAATTAGGGGTCACCCTTATCAGACCGAGATGAGGGGAATTTTTTTTCTCTCTGAAATTTGTGCAACTTGGGAACTCTCTGCCTCAGAGACAGAGTTAGTGAATACTTTTAGAGGGGACTGGTTGGATTCTTGTTGAGCAGGGAAATCAAAAGTTATTGGAAGTAGTAGGAATGTGGAATTTGAAACATGTACACCAGAGCAGAGTCGAAAGATTGTGAACAGCAGAGCAGAGGTGGAATGGTCTGATTCTGTTTCTATTTTGTATGTTTGTAAGTAAACATCCAGATTTGAGCTGAATAACTTGTTTCTGTCTCTACATTTTACAAATATTGAGAACAATTACTGCCTGGACTCTCATGCAAACAAAGGGCGACAGGGAGCAGTCCTCAAATATGTCTCTGCGGCTCGTGCAATTATATCTGATTGTGACACTGCAGCTCCTGTGAGCAGCGAGGAACTATGGATGAGTAAAAGGATTAGGCGATGATAAGAGGAAAAAAAAACGCTTTTTGGTCTAATTGGCAATGATTACGCCCACTAGAAGTTATGCAGTTTACAGCTCAGCTATAGAACGCACAAAGCGAATTTGCAGATAGTTTGCACAAAAAGTTGAGACAAAAACAGAAATTGCTGGAGAAACTCAGCAGGTTTGGCAGCATCTGTGGAGACAAAAAACAGAGTCATCTCTCCACAGATGAGGGATATTCTGTTCCCCCTCCACAGATGCTGCTGCACCTGCTGAGTTTCTCCAGCAATTTCTGTTTTTGTTTCAGACTTCTTGCATCCACAGTTCCTTGTTTTATTTTAGTGACTGGGACCAGTGAAGTATCCAGAAATTGGCATCGATGGATAGTTGTTGCATTAAGCAATATGACCAAGGCAGATAAATGGAATTTAGATACAAACCAACTGTGATCTAACTGTATGGCAGGACAACCTCAGTGGGTTGAATGGGCATCTTATGTTAATGTCATTTGCCAGTTTTGGTTAGTGCTAATTCTCTGTGCACCCCACTTCCTATGTGACATTTTCTTGTTTCATTTATGGAATGTGTGTGTCATTGGCTTTTTTCTTTATTCATTCACGGGATGAGGGTGTCGCTGGCTAGGCAGCATTTATTGCCCATCCCTAATTGCCCAGAGGGCAGTTAAGAGCCGTGTTGCTGTAGACCAGGTAAGGATGGCTGTTTCCTTCCCTAAAGGACATTAGTGAACCAGATGGGTTTTTTCGACAATCAACTGTTTCATGGTCCTCATTAGACTCTTAATTCCAGACGTCTTTTCAGTTGAATTCACATTCCACCGTCTGCCATGGTGGGATTCGAATCCGGTCCCCAGAATATTACCTTGGTCTTTGGATTAACAATCCAGCAATAATACCACTAGGCAAAGCATCTGCTATAGGCCAGTATTTATTGCCCATCTCTTCTTGAACTGTTGCTCTCCACGAGATGTCGGGACATTCTCAGTGCTTTTAGGGAGAGAGTTCCTGAGGCGATAGTGAAGGAATTATGATGTTGTTACATCAGAATACTGCGTTGCTTGGAGGCAAACTTGCAAGTGGCAGTGTTACTATGCATCTGTTGCTCTTGCCTTTGAAGCTGGTAAGAGTTTAGAAAGTGCTGTCAGAGGAGGCTTGGTAAATCTTGCCAATAGTACATTTTTGCTGCTACTACTGAGCAGGTAGATAGAGTGGATCTTTGTAGATGTGGTGCCAATCAAACGGGCTGCTTTGTCCTGGATGGTATGGAGCTTCTTAAGTCTTGTTGGAACTGCATCCGTTCAGGCAAGTGGGGAGTATTCCGTCACACTCCTGACTTGTGCCTTGTAGATGGTGGACAGGCTTTTTTTAAAGAAAAATCTACCCTTATCAGGGTTAGTATTGGAGCCCAGTTGCCAACATGGTCATCCAGCTTCCCCTTAAATTCATTCTGACAGGTTCCTTAGTTCAGAGCCTCGGGGCTGATCGGCAAACTGAGGATTCAATTCAGGCCTGTATGAACCTGCTCGGAGACAATCGATTGTACTAACAGGGCTTTTTGTCCGGACTGGATCCCTGATGGATGAAAAGAGCTCCGAGGGTCTGTAAACTGAGCTGTTTTGACGGCTGCTTTTAAAGTGTCAGATTGTTATTTGGTCCAGTGGTGTGGAAACCTTGTCACATTGTAAAAACATCAAATATTTGCACTAATCAGACCCCTACCCCCACCTCTTTCTCTTCTCCTTCTTTCTTTCAGCAAGTCCAGAGATCTTTGGAAGACAAAACAACGGAAAGGAGATGAGAAGCCCCTGCAGAGAAGTCTCAGCAGGCTGTAGTTGAGCCTGATTTAATTACTGTCGAATGTTAACCTGAATGCCTACAGTCCCATGCCAATTAGGCAGCGAAAGATAAATGTGCTGATAAAGGTGAGAAATTCTACATCTGTCTTTTCACACTTTTCAAAGAACCTTCTAAATGACAAGCAATTAAATATCAAGCATTCACCTAAACCACTAAGAATTAAAATGTTTCGTTGACGGCAGTGGAGGGCTGTTGTGAGATTTTTGGTCGACGCTAATTATATTTCACACCATAAGAGTTCCCTCTCACAAAAGTCACTGAATATTTGATTGTAACTGGCACATTTCATTTAGCATATTTAAAAACAGTTTTTCCATCCCTCTGTTCTCCTCCACCATTAATAATAACTTGCATTTATGTAGCTCCTTTACAGTAGTGAAACATTCCTAATTTGGTTATGAACTTGATTTGACACCAGACCATGGACAGGTGACCCAAGCTGAGTTAGAGAGGCAGCTTTTGAGCAGTATCTTTGTAGGAGGCAAACTGGGAGTGTTGAGACGGGGAAGAGGGAATTCAAGCTTGGGACCCAGGCAGATGAAGGCACAGCCATCGACGTTTACTCCTTGTTGGGATGCCACCCAACCTTGGTATTTAGCTGAGTCTTGGAAGGCCATTTGACTGTGGGTGGCATCACCGTAAATCTGCATTGTGTGTAGAGGTTCAGACATATCTTCAGGAGATAGTAGTTGAAAGCAGTGGTCCTTGCTGTGCCTGAATCTTCCCTATGTCTGACAAATTGGAGACTTTAAACTCCAAGTTGGATGTCAGATACCAGCTCAAATTAAAACAAAATACTGCAGTTGCTGGAGATATGAAATAAAAACAGGAGATGCTAGGAGAAACTCAGCAGTTCTGGCAGCATCTGTGGAAAGGGAAACTGAGATGAAGTTTCCTAGACCCATAGAAACCAGGAGCAGGAGTAGGCCATTTGGCCCATCGAGCATGCTCTGGCATTCAATGTGAACGCAGCTAATTCTCTATCCCAGTACTGTTTTTCTGCATTCCCTCCACGTATTTTGATGCCTTTTAACATCTAATCAAATAATCTAAACTTTCAAGTCCAATTTTTTCTAATAAAGAATTGTATTGGACAATATATTCCAATAAAGAATCGTATTGGACTTGAAATATAAACTCTGCCTTTCTCTCTCTCCACAGATGCTCTCCAGCACTTTGGGTTTTTCTGTAAGGTAACAGTTATTGTCCTTTCTGCCTGTTCAGCTGGTGACTGTGGTCCAGAATTTGTACTGACCAACATTTTTTGCTCAGCTGTGTGAAAAAGAAGGGTGTCTTGATCAAACATACAGTTTGCCAACACACAATAATCGCCAAAGCATGAAGCAATTAATTGCTTTACTGCAGATGCAGTGTGACATTGGGAAGGCTTTCTCTCTTCCTGAGATTTATAAACTTGAGCACCAGAGAGAGTGAAATGCAGAATCTTGTTAATCTCTGCCTCTCACATAACAATCCATGTCACAATGTGTTTTCACCAGAGGGAAAACCCTTTGGGAATTCAAACAGTTTGGAGATTATACATGATATTGTCCCAGGCAGTCCTGACATTTTCTTTAACATCTGCCCCTGTTCTGTTTTCTCTAGAATTTAGAAGGTTAAGCGGTAATCTGATCAAAGTCTTCAAGACAGTAACAGGAAAAGACAGGGTAGATAAAAATAATTTATTTCCACTGGTTGGGGATCCTAAAACTAAGGGCATAGTCTATATTTAGGGCCAGACCGTTCAGGAGGGATGTTAGGAAGCATTTTGAAACATAAAGGGTGGGAGAAGCGGTTGATAAATCAGGTTGCTAATTTTAAATCTAAGACATATGCTTTTGTGAAGCAAAGGTATTAAGGGATATGGGCCAAAGGCAGGTATATGGAGTTAGGCCACAGATCAGTCCTGATCTCCATTAAATGGTAGAACAAGCTCAAAAGGCTGAATGGCCTACTCCTGTTCCTATGTCTTGCGGGATTAAATACCCATGGCTAGCTCCTTTCCAGACCCTATGCATCAGTTGTGGATCAGTGAGCAGCCTGCTCTTGCTTTTAAGTCAGGGTGTCGTAGGTTCAAGACCCAACCTGATCACGCAATGGACTGCAGTGCTGAGGGAGCGCCGCGCTGTCGGAGGGTCAGTGCTGAGGGAG